GATTTTGAGACAGGGTCTCACTGTGTAGTCCAGGCTGGTCTTGAACTCACTGTAGTTCAGGCTGGCCTCAAACTCATGGGAATCCTATCTTAGCCTCCTAAGTGCTGGGATTACAGGCATGCATCACCACACCCGCTGCTACATTTATTTAGAATTTTATTACAACATTCTGGATATTGAAAGCGGCTTTTCATAAAGGCTTTGATTTGTCTGAAATCAAACTTTTTTTTTTGACATAGGGACTCACCATGGAGTTCAGGCTGGCCTTGAGCTTAGTATGTAGCATGGGCTGTGATCCTCCTGCCTCAGCCTCCCGAATGCTGGGATTATAAGTGTGCACCACCACACTTGGCTTCAAACTTTTTTAAAGAGGACTAGGGTTGCAGATTCCTTTTACCTAGTGTGAAGATTATGAGGTCCATTAATGACAATATTTATTTGATATCAGCTAATTGGCATAGCTCTACTTTCTAGATGATATTTTGAGAAAAACTCAAGTCCTCTACAGAGATGTTAGGTATTTGTTATATAATTGATAAATGTATAATGTATATTAGATATCTCATGTATCTCAAAGAATTACAGTTTTGTAGATTCTGCATTTTAATTGTTGAACCTCTTTGGAAAACTAATGACCTTTGACGTCCATTTGATACATGGAGAAACTGAAATTTAAAGCTGGGTATGGTGGTGCCTGCCTGCAGTACCCTCACTCTGGGAGGCTAAGGTAGGCTCAAAAATTAGAACATATCGTGAGACCTTGTTTCAAACAAAACAAAACGAAAAGTGGGCTCAGAGTAGTAGAACCAACAACAGAGTCTAGGTAAACAAATTCATAATATTATACTTTCGGCTTTATACCAAACAACATTTTCTGTTTTGTAATGCTGTATTCCAAGGGCTCCTTAGAATACTTGGAAGAAAAGAGAAGGTTGTAATAGTGGGTCTTTGAGTTAACTAGAATGTGACCTAACATGTTTCGTATGGTTTGTACAGCAGATAGACATGCAGTCTGGGTAATAAAGTAGTGGAGGTTGAAAGGTGTGGTTCAGTTTCTCAAGTTTGTAGTACTTATCAGTAAGGGTTCAAAATTTCACATGAAAGAGCATG